CATGGGTGAAAACTTACCAAATTTATAAGAAATAAGAAAATATTCAGAGGAATAATGAGAGAGACATGAAGGAGTATCACAAAAAAAAAAAAAAAAAAAATTTCCAATTGAGATATCACTTCTTCGGTTAAATGTTACATCAAATATTCTTAGCTTCCCTCTCACCCAGACAGGAAAGATAAATATTCTTGAGATCAAAACCTCATGTATTAATGACTTCTATGGAATACGCTGGCCAAGAACTAAGTAAACCAACAAGTAGGGGGGGGAAATCAAAGTGTATTTCCTACTAGTTTAGCAAACAATGGAGTGCATTTTTCCTATGACGCAGGAATTGTAGATTTTATTCCACAGCTCTATGATACAGCATATTTCTATTGGGGTTATAATAGCAAGTAATTTAAAAATAAAAATAGTAAATAAAATGAAAAATGGAATAGTAAAAAAATTTTGTCGAAGACTGTGTGTAATACTGAAAGTACGAAGGCAGTTGTAGAGCTGAGGAAAACTCTAGCCAAAAGCAATTTTAGGGAACACGTACACTATTCCAACATCCGTAACAGGGACCCTGTACATAAGTGATCAAATTGCCAGAGTTTGACTTGAGATTTTAGTTTTCTTTAATTTGCTAAATGACATGTAAAGGTGCAACATACGATTTTTAATACTGCAGGTAGCATTCTTTTTTTTTTTTTATGACTTATCAGGTTGACTGCTTAATATACATTTATTGTATTTCCCCCATAAATCGTAAATAAAAAAACGGAAGCCAATTAGAAGTGGATTTTTCACTTAAAAGAAAGCCCGAGTATAGCCATCTATTCTGTTGTGAGAGCCAGTCACTAGTGAAACAGGATACAGTTTGATATTAATAAATGCTATGGGGAAATAAGGATTTACATTTTTAGAAAGGGTACTTACTATAACGTTTTAAAGGTTTTCTATTTTGTAACATAGAAATGACAATATATAACAAAGGGAAATAAAAATATAGAAAAATGCTGGAATGTTTCCATTTTAATGTAGAAACAAATTAGGGCAGGACAGTGTGCTATGAATCTAAATTTCTGCTTTGAAATTATAATGAATAGTAATTAATGGTAAAAAAGTTATGGAGTAATGATGGAATATACTGATTTGTAATGGATTAGACTTTTGGATATTTTAGACAGCAAAAGCTTAGGAAAGGGATACGTGTTTACATCCGAATAGGATGAGATGTCATTGCCTAAATTAATAATGCAAACTTGAAAAATAGCCCCAGGTTCAAAAGACCAATTATAAAATTCTTTTGTAAACAAATCTATATTCACATTTTTCATGAATAATTATAACTACAAGTATTTCTTCACTAATGTTCAATTTATAAAATGAAAAATATATTTTCAAGTGAAACTCAAGTAATACTTCAGTTTCTAATGATGGTAAACTTACCTGCAAATAAGTGTTAATAATGACAAACACAGGAATACTCTACAGGAATAATTTTTATGTATCTATATTAACAACAAATAATAATCAAAATGGAAAAAAAGTTATTCAAGTGTTTTAAGTAATAAAATATTATGGAAAAATATCAATAATTATGACAAATATAACCACATCATCTTCAGAAATATGTGATCATCTTATGAATATTTTTATTCTATGGAAATCGTACATACTCAAATCTACTCTGTGAAAAAGACTTTTCCTTGTTGTTGTAAAAGTAGACATGGTAGGCATTTTCTTATTACACTATGCAACCAAGACAATCGTTGTGAACTTCTCTGCCCCTTTTTAAATCTTTTGCTCATCAGCAAGAAAACAAAGGTATCTGTCATAAATTTCACATTTTGTTCGTAGTTCTAACATCACTATTCATATATTTGCAAGATTCTGTATTCCTAAGCAAGGTTAACTTGTCTTTGTTCTCTAGTGAAGCAGACCTAACCACATGTATACAGACTGATAAAACTGTCATATGAACAGAAAGTGTTCAAACTATTAACCATCAATAATAATCAAATTTCCAGGAAGTTTTAAATGAAGATAAAACCAACCTTTTATCAAGAATTTCAAACATTTCAAAAGGAAATTTGATAAATATCATGAGATTTAAGTGTCCTGAGTATTAATTCACAGGACAGTGACAAGATTCTTAGAAAACACAATCTCCTTTTACCCACAGTGGCTGCCGGAGGTGTCGCGGGGATGGAACCCAGGGAGCTCAGATGCGCTTCTAAACAGAAGTGATGCTATGTCATGGAGACAGGTAATACAACCTCAACCTCAGCAAAAGCATAATACGACTTCACACCAAGAAAACCTGACATATTCTGAAATGTTTACACATACAAAGACTAAGGGTCTACCCAAACACAGTACTTATCAGTGAGACAATATTCAAATCCCAACCTTTGCAGTAATACCATTAAAAGCCATAAATCATACTTTGAGGAATTTCTTTTACAAAAAATCTGGATGGATATGCACCAAGATTTAGGAAGAAGCATTTCAAATGAAAATAGCTAAAAATGGCCCCGATGTCTAAAAACTTCATGGAATGACGACTGTTTGCTAATCTAACTTGAAGCCATGCAAGTGTCAAAACTACACTGTAGACGAGTGGTCTCCAAATGAGGCGTTCGAAACTCTAAGGGATGTCAGTGATTGTGTGACAAATGATTCTGGATTTAATGTATTTTTAACAACTTCATAAAATGGGGGGGGGGGGACCATCAGGGCATGTTTTATAAATAAATTTCAACACACTGCAGACCTTCAGGGCATCGAAACTCTTGCACCACCTCACTGGACACTATCCTGAGATCACAAGGTGAAATAACACCAAGGGACAAACTGAGAGGAGAGGAGACCCAGGGCTCCAGTGTCTCGGCCAGCCTGGGCTCTTCCTCTAACGTGAGCGGAGTCCTGTAAGGCTGCTACTCTAACCACCCATATTTTATGAGAGGTTAAGGATGTCAGTGCCCACTGGGTCAGCTCCTCCAGAGCCTGAGCTCACCTACACCCTCCTGCTCATCCCAGAGTGAGGACATGGGCCGGGCGCCGAGGCTAACCCAACAGCTACTCTGATCAGTAACTCTCCCGTTGGAAAATGTTTTGCTTGTCCAAACAGTATCATATAATTATTTCTTAATATTATAAGTAAATATTACAGATGTTAACTAAGAAATCCACTTACAAGCAGTAAAAACCACTTTTATCTATTTTATATAGGGATCTGGACATGATTCCGTTTGATATAATAGTTCTGCTACTTAACAGTTTGAAAACCATAGTTATATGAGATTAATGAAACAGAAAGGCAGTCACAATTTGTTAAGTATGAAAACTAAAATTTATAAGAAACAAAAAAAAATCCCCCAAAACACAACTCAAATCTAATGCATACAATATAGACTGAAAGGATATAATCCTGAGCTAAATGTGATAATTAAGGGAAATTTTTACAATTTTTCTAATTGCCTTCCTGTGTTTTACAGAGAAGGCAACTATACAATATGACCCCTCAATAAGGAAAAGGACATTCAAGTGTTTATTTTTTAAAGAACTCATATCAACACCTTAAAATGTGTATGTCTACCTCTAATTGGATCACCATTTTACCAAATTTCCAAGAAACACCAATCTAGTGCTAAGCAAAGACAGAACTCATAAAATGTTGAATGAATGAATAATTAATGAATGAAATATATCTGTAATATCTCTGTACTATTAAATGACCTTTAACATAAAACTTAATGCAATAATGAGGATAATAATAGAGATTATGGCAATATATTTACTGAATGCACAGGCTATAGCCACAGGAATACAAAAATGTCTTTTTTAACGAAGGCTTCAGGCTTAAGGTATCTATATCTATATCTATATATATGCTAACGTTTAACAAAAGCGGGCTATATTGAAAGAACCCCCCTCAATGTTTCTGTGTTGTCATGTGTAATGGGGTCCATGAGATTTTCAGCTCCAGGATGGAGAAGGCCCTCACACAGTGATTCAGCCTGCACTGCGTAGCTGAGGAAGCTAAGACAGAGGTCATTTGGCTGCCTGCAAACTCTGTGGTGTCTCACAAACCACCTAATGTGCTCTGAACTCACTCTCATGGACTCCAGGTATAGCGTGATCCAGCTGCAGTGTCCGTTTCCCATTTTGTTTTTCACTCTGCACTCTCCACACAAACCTCATCATAGAGTAAAACAGGATTATTTACCAAACCTCATCATAGAGTAAAACAGGATTATTTACCAAACCTCATCATAGAGTAAAACAGGATTATTTACCATTGCCTGACCTAGGCTTTGCTGCGGCTGCAAGGTGAACTCTGCAGTGTGGGAGACATCACTTAGCCACCGAGGACCTCAGGGAGCAGGCTGAGCACATGCGATCTCCATCACACTGTCAGCCCAAAAATGCTACAGCACACCATTACCTCCTGCACCCATGGGTCGTTGAAATTAACTCATCTTTTAAGCCCTGGCTGAAATGCTATCTCCTCTAGGAGGACGTCCGTGTGGCTGGACTTGTTCCTTCCTACGGATGCTCCTGGCCTTTTTATTTCCTCGCTGAAATCTGTATTATAATTATTTAGAGGTACTACAAAGTCACCTATTATGCTACAATATCCTTCAAGGCAGGAAACATTTCTTGTATTGTCTTCATTGCCTGAAAGTACTTCAACTCAGTACAGAGGAGATGCCACATGCATGGAATAACTGATGAAATGGAACAGTCCCTTACTCTGGCAAAGAAATAAAACTACTTGAACTTCAGGTGTACAAAGGATTGCAAAACCCAAATGTTAAGACTATAAAAAATGGAAAAGAACTTTACAATTTTAAAAATAGTCACTAAAATTTGATGGTGAAATAAACTCTACCTAATAAGTGAATCCTGCTTTACACTGTGCTAATCCATGTTGAACAGAAAAGTGATTCTTTCCTGTGAATCCACCACGGTGATCACCTGACTCTACCTGCTTGGTAATGAACCCTTACCTGTAGTCACACCAGGGGCATCTGTAGGGCTTCTCTCCCGTGTGCACCCGTTTGTGCCGAGTCAGATGGGACTGGGTTGTGGAGGCAAAGTTACACTCATCACATTTGAAAGGTTTTTCTCCTGCAAAATATAAAGCAATGCTGTACATGAATAATTATAAAAACTGGAATGAAGGGCTAAACCTGTCACTGACAATTAAAAAGAAACTTATTTCCATAAAAATTTAAGAATATAGTTCAATGGACTACTCACATTTAGGACACTTGAATATTCATTCCCAGAGTGATAAAGTTAGAAGATACCACTGATTTTAATTTCTGTATTTGAATGGAAGCAAGGTATATATTATGGAGCTCAAATGTAACTTACACAAACAGAAATCTAAATTACAGCCTGGTCTAGCACTGCATTTGGAGTAATTTAACAAACTATGTTACACTAGAGCTATTATAAAAACCTCCCTGAGGATAAAACCATGAAAAAGCATATAACAGAGATATTCTTTGAATATACAATATAAAATCTTAAAGTTAAATATGAAGAAAAAATAAAGCTATAATTTGATACCAATTAGAAAACTCTTAGAGGTAAGGGAAAATTACAGTTCACTAAAGTTGAAAAAGAGGTCACCACAGAAAAAAAGGCCTCAAAGAAACATGTGCAATACTATTTCATAGCATTCCCCTGTGTAGATCTAAGCAATCTATCCACATATGCATTTTACCCATCAGTTGGTTCAAGGCTTGCACACCACTCATAGATACTTTCTCTGCATTAACCACTCCCCCTGCACACACACACATTCAAAGAAATCATCAAATCTTACTTTTTAATTGTATTAGCCACACTGGCTGGTAAGCCCTTGAAATATGGCTATTTAATTTCAATCAATATAAATTTTAAATTTAAAAAACTGATAAGGGATTTACCTACAGAAAAAATGTTTAAGTCTGTAATAGAACAGCTTGGGAATGTGAATCTACTTTTTGAGGCATAAATTTTATCAAATCTAAATATAAATCACAGATTTGATATAAAAATTTAGCCTCTGAATTGAGATGTGCTGAAAGTGTAAAATGCACTCCAAAATTCAAAATCCTAGAACAAAAAAAAAATAAAATATCACTAATAATGTTATATTGATTTCATGTTGGAATGATAGTAATTTGATATATTTGGTTAACTTTTTTTTTTTTTTAGTTTCAAGCTTTTATTTAAATTCCAGTTAATTAACATAGTGTGAATATTAGTTTTAGGAGTAGAATTTAGTGATTCATCACTTACGTACAACACCCAGCGCTCATCATAACAAGTGCACTCCTTAATCCCCATCACCTATTTCCCCCAACCCCAATCCTGCAACTTTTCCTCCAGGAACCTTCAATTTGTTCTCTCTCTATAGGAGTCTGTTTTATAAGGTTTGCCTCTCTCTTTTCTTCCCCCTATGTTCATCTCTTTTGCTTCTTAAATTCCACCTATAAGTAAAATCATATGGTATTTGTCTTTCTCTGACTGACTTATTTCTCTTAGCACAATACACTCTAGCTCTATCCACGCTGTCGCAAATGGCAAGATTTCATCCATTTTGATGGCTGAAAAATATTCCTATATACACCACATCTTCTTTATCCATTCATCAGTTGATGGCTTTTTCCATAATTTGGCTATTGTTGATAATGCTGCTATAAACATTGGGGTACATGTGCCCCTTTGAATCAGCATTTTTGTACCCTTTGGGTAAACACCTAATAGTACAACTGCTAGATCACAGGGGAGTTCTATTTTTGATTTCTGAGGAACCTCCATACTGTTTTCCAGAGTGGCTGCACCAGTTTGCATTCCCAACAACAGGACAGGGTGAGACAGTTCCCTTTCTGCATCCTAGCCAACATCTGCTGTTTCCTGGGTTGTTAAATTTAGCCATTCTGATAGGTGTGAGGTGGTATCTCATTATAGTTCTGATTTGTATTTCCTTGATGATGAATGATGTTGAGCATGTTTTCACGTGTCTATTAGCCATCTGGATGTCTTCTCTGGAAAAATGTCTATTCATGTCTTCTGAATTTATATGGAACCACTAAAGACCCCGAATAGCCAAAGCCGTCTTGAAAAAGAAAAGCAAAGCTGGAGGCATCACAATTCTAGACATCAAGTTATATTATTACAAAGCTGTAGTGATCAAGACACTATGGTACTGGCACAAAGACACATAGATCAATGGAACAGAATACAAAGTCTAGCAATGGACCCACAACTATATGGTTGACTAATCTTCGACAAAGCAGGAAAGAATATCCAATGGAAAAAAGACAGTCTCTTCAACAAATGGTGCTGGGAAAACTGGACAGGTCCATGCAAACGAATGAAACTGGACCACTTTCTTATACTATAAAAATAAATTCAAAATGGATGAAAGACTTAAATGTGAGACAGGAAACCATCAAAATCTTAGAGGAGAACACAAGCAATAACCTCTTTAACACTGGCCATAGCAACTCCTTAACTAAATATGTCTCTGAAGGAAAGGGAAACAAAAGCAAAAATAAATTATTTGGGACTTCCATCAAGATAAAATGTTTCTGCATGGTGATGGAAACAATCAACAAAACTAAAAGGCGACCTTTGGAATGGGGGAAGATATCTGCAAATGATATATCTGATAGGGGGTTAGTATCCAAGATACATAAATTGTAAAACTCAACACCCAAAAAATAAACAATCCACGTAAAAAATAGGCAGAAGACATGAATAGACATTTAGTTAACTATTTAAAAAAGCAATTCACCTGTTACTTTTTTTTTTTTTAATTTTTTATTTATTAGATAGAGACACAGCGAGAGAGGGAACACAAGCAGGGGGTAGTGGGAGAGGGAGAAGCAGGCTTCCCACTGAGCAGGGAGCCCGATGCGGGGCTCGATCCCAGGACCCTGGGATCATGACCCGAGCTGAAGGCAGACGCTTAATGACTGAGCCCACCCAGGCGCCCCTACTTTTTTGTTTTTTAATATGGTTGCCAGGAAACTTAAAATGACAGGTGTAGCTCACATGACATTTCTGTTGGACAGCAATGAACTAGAGAAAATATCACAACCACCTCCTCCCCAAAATGATTTGTAATATGTAATACTCTTCTCAGCAAACATTCTTTATGAGAAATTTTACATATAGATTAATTTTATGTATGTTCAATAATTCCACTTGCCACTTCTTAATTCTGGTGTTTTTTGAATAGTTTTATAAGTATACTGACTTATGTAGAAAACAAAGGAAGAACTACCTTGGTATAAAATTACCCTACATCAATTCCACTAGCAACAAAACTACATCTGTTCTGAAAACCAGAATGTTTAGAATCTTGTCCCCCTTTCTTTCTAAGACTATTAATATGGCAGTTAGCTGAATGCATCCACATCTCATTTGATGGTGTTCTACCTGTTACTGCAGCCCAGGGTGGGGCGGGGGGGCAGTCAGAAGAAGCCAGATGGACTTCAATCCCAATCCAGGTTTTGCCATATTTCAGTCCCTACCTGTAACCCCCCTGGACAAGATCAGAAGCGTAAAACCACCGAACAAGCAGGACAGTTATGAGGATTCGAGAAGACAAAGCATGTGTAAGGTACTTCTCACGGGGTCCCATGCCTCATTGCATTTGTCGCCCATATGCCCAGAGCAGCTGAGCACCGTTATGTGCACAGTGCCCTCTCACAGAGATGAAAGAAGGAGCACACACCCCAGTGCTTCTCATCAAGCTCTCCGAACAAGGAAAAAGGCAAACCTTTTTATATACAAAACAATTACGGGTTTCACATAGTGAATTTAACATAGAGATACCATTTAATAGATCCTACAAGGAAATATTTGATTAATTTTTGTAAAAAGAAGAACATATACAAAGCAGAGTAAAATCTTGGGAGTTGGGAGGCATTTTTGTACCTTTCATCAATTTGTTCTCAAGATACATCCCATCTATAACACCCCAATCAAGTGGTCACTCAGGGTCAGCCTGAATAACTCTTGGTTCTTGATCTCTAAACTGCTGGTCAAGTCACTTACATTGGTATAGACAACTCAACTACACTGAACTGACTTATACAAAAACTCACTTTCATGATGATGGCAGGTTTTGCTTTTGTTTGAGAGACAGTTGATGATATTCATCTTGCATAAGGCTGAAGAAAATGGCTCTATGTCTTCAAATTTGGTACAGAAATAGGCTATATCATAAAAACATAAACATCCACACGGAAGCATATCTGAAAACTTCTACATTTCATTATAAGAACTGGACTGCAGACTATTTTAACTACACACCAATGTCACAGAGCAGTTCACATGGACAGCAGAAACACAAAGTGATGCACTCATTTGGATAAAACTACACACATTATTAATTGTTTCACTAACTTGAAGTATCTAGACTGACCATACAAGGCAGACTGAAACCACCACAATCAAGACAATGAACACAGCCACCACCCCAGAGGTTCTTTATACCCCTTTCTCTCTCTGGCTCATCCCATCCTCAAACGAACTCTCATCTGCTTACTACCAATATATATTAGTTACCATTTTCTAGAGATTTATATACACGGAAACATACAGTATGTATTCTCTTTTGCCTGACCTCGTCTCAGCATTATTTTGTGACTCACTCATGTTGCTCCAGGTGTAAATATTTGTTTTTTATTTTAGCTGAGGAGTAGAGTAGCACTCCATGATATGAATGTACCACAGTTTTGTTTATCCATTCATCCAACAAAGGACATTTGAATTGTTTGCATTTAGGGGTGTTACAAACAAAGCTGCTATAAATCGTCATGTGCAAGTCTATGCATGGATATGTATCTCTTTTTCTCTTGGGTAAACATCTAGGAGTGGGTTGGCTGGGTCATTTAGTAGGTACATACTAATTTTGTAAGAAACTGCCAAACTGTTTTCCAAAGTGGTCTGACCATTTTATATTCCTACCAGCGGTGTAGGAAAGTTTCCACTGCTCCAAATCATCACCAATACTTGGTATGGTCAGTGCTTTCGATTTGCATTTTTCTATTGATGTTGAGAATCATTTCATGTGCTTATCTGCCATTCATTTATATTCTTTGGTGACATGTCTGTTCAAATCATTCAACCCCTTTTTAATTGGTTAGTTGTTTTCTTATACTTATGTTTTGAGACTTCTTTATATATTACAAATGCAAATGCTCGATAAGATTTGTGATTTATACGTATTTTTCCCCACTCTTTGGTTTGTCTTTGCATTCATTCTCTTGTCTTTCATAGAGGAGTACCTAATTAATGTATAAAGTTTTTAATTTGTCAGTTTATAATTGCTCAAGCTATGGGTTTTTTTTTTTTTTTTAATTACAAATCAGGCTTTTGATGCAGTACCTAAGAAATCTTTGATAATCTATGGTCACAAAGATTTTTTCTCCTAAATTCCCTTCTAGAATTTATACAGTTTTAAGTTTTACATTCAGATTAAGAACAGTTTCGAGTTAATGTTATACATGGTATGACATATAGAGCAAAGTTCATTTTTACTGCATACAGATATCCAATTGTTCAAGCATTGTACATTAAAAAGACTGCACTGCCTTTGTTCCTTTGTCAAAAATCCACTGACCATATAGATGTAGGTCTGTTCTGTAATCTCTGTTCCATTCCACTCATAGATTTGTCTTCCTTGATGCCAATACCAGAGTGACTTGATTACTGTAGCTTTATAGTAAGTCATGAAGTCAGGTTTGTTCATTGTCCTCAAAGTTGACTATTTCAGATCGCTGCATTTCCAATTTTAGTATATGTGCTGCCAAAGTGAGCACTGGATCATTGCATTTCCATATAAATTTTAAAATCAGCTTGCCAATTTTTTAACAAGAAGAAGCTTGGTGGGATCTGAGTCTTTTGAGTCCATGAACATGGTATATCATCCTATTTAGGTCCTTTAATTTCTCTTGGCAGTTTTTTGCAGTTTCCAATGTAGGGGTTTTGCACATCCTTTGTTAGATTACCTCTAAATATTGTACCTTGGTCACAAACAACTGAAAAATATAAGCATGGATCTATTCTGTTCCATTGAGTATCTGTGTATCTTTATGCCAATACAATATGGTCATGACTATTGTAGCTATATAATAAGAGATCAAGTTAGGTAGTATAAATCTTCCACTTTAACATAATGAATCTAAGTGGTCAAACAATTTAAAGATTTTTTTTTTCATTAGCAAATAGACAACTACATCCTGATGTCTCCTTATTCCATTCAAACTAATGTTTGAAAATATGTGCTAACTTGTTTATTCAAATAGCCTTGGGGTAGGCATCTTTATCCATTTTTCATGGATTTGGCAGTTATCTGGAGAGGATAAAGGGTGACATGATGGACTCATTGTCTGAGTTAGCACTGTAAGTGAAAGGTAATTTTCTTGGTTTGGAGGTTTAACATAAACACTTAAAAAAAAGGTTAACATAGCTTATTTCATCTAAATTTTTATGACATTTTTATGTGACACAATCGAAACTTAGAAACAACACTTTTAAAGAATAATGTCATTTATATTCTCTATAATTCTAATAATTTGAAGTTCATATTAAGCTAGCATTACATTACAATGAGCTATAATTTCAGACTTGACAACACTGTAGATTACATTGCGTAACACTAAGAAATTTTGAGTTATATACGGGTTGACAGAGAAGAAAATATAATGCTACCAAAATATGCTACATAAAATTCTACTCTATAACCACAAAGTAAAGGAAGGCTCAAGCGTGTCTAGGCTCCTGGAAGGGGAAGAACCCCATGTCAATTTATACAAACTACAGTTTAATTGAATCTGTACATGATTAATTTGGAATTTATTAGTTTTGGTACATGCCTGATGCTACTGTTCAAATATGTTAATTGGTATTTTTTTTTTCATCCACAAATGATAATTTCTTCAGGTAATTTCAGGAGATTTCTTCAAGTAATTTCTTCAGAGAACTATACTTCAGAAACACAAAAGTAGTTTTTTTTGTTTGTTAGTCTCAATATATAGCCAAAGAAATAAACTCGCTTTCTAGGTTGTAAAATTTGAAAAAAAAAAAAAAATCTACAAATTATAAATAAGAATTCCAGTTTGCTAATATTTGTTAATGCCTGAAATGAGATAGGTACCGTATGAAGAGGTGCATACACTTGTTAACGACTGATCAAAATGATTTAGTGCGCTGGGAACAGTCCTCCTGAATCCTTTGTCATTCTAGAGCCAGGAAGATGAGTAAATCTATGAGTAAGGCATCAACTACTCTTGATGAGTGCTACCTCTCAGTCAATAGCGCTGTGTACACCCTACACAAAAAAGCCAAAACAAAGGTGAATTTCCTTTCCTCCCGAATTTCCCCTTATGTGACATAACAGTGCATATTAAATCATGTTGTTCTTCATACTCTCCTTTACGAACAACAACCTTGGCCAAAGTAACCATCAAGGAATGTTCTGCATCTTAGGTAGCTGTGACAGAAAAGTAAAAGAAAGTCGGAGGGGGTACACCAGAATGGCTCTGGATACAGAGCAGCGCCCTTTGTGTGTCAACAATCTGTCAAAAGGCCTGCACACTTCTCATGGAACCTCACACTTCGCATTCCTTTGGGCAGGCTGGTGCTTATTAAGCGGGCCAAGACTCTTCAACTACACGTGAGGATTTGCTCCTGTGCCCTTGAATCAAGGGTCTCTGACAGGTGATAAAAGTAAATCTTGGAATGGAAGATGTTTTGTGTCAGCCCCCTAGACAGTCTGTATTGCAGTAGGGAATTATTTACGCCATTTGGAACACTTTTGATACCTATCCCCTTCCAAGCTGATTGTAATTTGCGTGGGCACTCTGGTAAAAAGGTAAACCATGTCAAAGAGGAATACATCGGAGAAATATAGATTTCAGTGCACCATACAATTCTGGCCTTTGAAAAAAACAAGCTGTATGATGCTTAAATATTACAAATCCAGCATAAAAGCCAAGGGCCTAGACTGAGTTGTACTAAGCTGTTTGGTTGAAGCAAACAGTCTTCAGAACTGACTTTGGTATTAAAGAATCATGTTTGATTTGTGCCACAGAGGGAGATAAATGCCACAAAGACAGATGCCTCTGTCTGTGAGACATTGTCCTATATGGTATAAAGTTAATAGCAAAGTAATAAGGAGCCTCTGGACCTGACATAAAATATAAAGTTGTGCCTGCCCGACACAGGCTTCATGATCGATCACCTGTAAGCGCCTGGGATCCTAGCACGACTGTCCTCACCGCAAGGGGAGAGGGAGCTCTGGCACCATGGCAGAGGGGGCACACGGGAGGCTCTGCCAGTCCCCAGGCTGCAGCTGGGAGTGACCTGGCGAGCAACAACGGTCGCAAGAGTAACATTCGGGCACCAATACACTGAATACATCAAGAGCAAAGCACCCTACGTGAGCACGCTTTACACCCCCCACAACACACACACACTCCAACTTCTCCAAGACGGCTGCCGAGGAGGGCTGCCATCCACTGGCCTCTCCTGCCATCCCTGACCCCGACTCCCGACGGCGCTGGATTAACGGGCTGTGGCCACAGGTTGCTACTATAAACTGAAAGTGGACTTCCACGTTTACAGAATTAAGTGTATGTTTCCAACATCAAGTTAAACACTGGAAATTTCACTTCACTCGATAATAACTCTTACCCTGTATGGAGACCTGAATCCTATACACGCACGATCTGAAAGAAGTAGCTGGCATTAGTTTTTATTAATCTTACAAATACCACGATGGGTACTAGAGCTACCTATGGCTAGCTGTTAAATATATCATATCAAGGTTCAAAATGTCCCACAAACAACATGTATCTTCATTTCATGCCACTCTGAGTGTGACCGCCAAACACCCCACTGTCATGGTCCCCAAGGAAAAGCCCAACATTCAGTGACAGATTGTGTTACCACATGATTTACCATCTAAACTAGGTCACTTTTGATAATAAAACAGTTCTGTTAATAATCAGAAGGGACAATGCCATTAACAGCACTGTCCCCGGCACGTATAATTTACAACTATTAACATAATTACTTATAAGACCGGGTAGGTGATCGATTTTAATGAATACTTAAAACTTTTCATTCTTAACTGTTCCTAACCGAGGCACCTATTTGATTTTGTTGCACCATAAAGAACGCGAATCACGAACACGAATCCTCTTCCACGTCGCTGTCTATTCAAGTAAGCTCTGCATTCTTAAGAGCAAGAAGAACAGAAACAGCAAGAACCTAAAACCGCACCCACTGTTCCCAACTCACAGAGGGACTGCCCCTAGAGGGTCAGGTGGTTAGGTGGGCCAAGAAGTAGCTGGAAAGGGCGGGGAGGGGGGCTGTGGAGAAGCCGGTTGCCAGCCAAGGAGGCATGGGTGAGCACAAAAGTAGGTGGGAGACGCTGAGGGGAGAGGGCGCATCGGAGAGCCAGCCGGGCCCCCAGCCTCACCCACCATGTCTGTGGCACAGTCTCATGGGCCGAGAGGGAGGCGGGTGTGTCTGCAAGTGGCGGCAAGCTCTTTCCCCTCCCATATAACACGGATTGACACAGGCCACCCGATCCCCGAACCATGCAGTAGGCCGGCTTTTTCAACATCTAAAAAGAGGTGAATCCAAGTCTTAGGTTATTCAAAGAGAATTCTCAGCAGACCCTCAGGTACAGGGATCGTACAACGACGACAAGACACGGCACCGCGGGCCGAGAGCGGACGCCGGGGCACCCGCCGGCTCCGCCGGGCAGGGGCGGGCGGCGGCCGTACTGACCTGTGTGCTGGCGGCGGTGCTTGGTGAGGGCGTGCCGCGTCCCGCCGGCAAAGCCGCAGAGGTCGCACAGAAACGACTTCTCGCCTGTTGCAACAATAAACAGATGAGGGACTGCGGAGGTCACAGATCATTAAAACATATCTATCAAGGCTTTCAGGGTTACTAATTCCTCCAATCAAATGTTTCCATGTAAATATGTCAAATGGGAATGAAATTACCACTGCGGTTTATTGACTGTGATAAAATCTGAAAAGCACCACTGAACATAATTACATACTTGTCAGACCCATAAAAATTAGCTTTATTATCAATGGAATGGTTTTGTACAACTTCATTTCTGGTAGATGTCTTCCAGATGGGGCTGCTTTATGCACTTGAACAGTTTTTATGCATATCCTGATTTTTTACAATTCCCATACATCTGGCCTTTCCGAGCTGAGTAAAGATTGCTTGGAATAGTTAATATACAGTATCTAGGATTCTACTTAAATAAAACATATTGAATTTTCCAACAACTGAAGGATATTGAATTGGTTTTATCTGATCCTATCAGGTTCTTCCTTTAATAACTTCCTACTTAATAACGTGAATTGAATGGTTTCCTTGAACACACAGAAGATCCCAACTAACAATAAAATCCACATTACTCAGTGCCAATAACAATTCAGTGCTGTTTATGTTTCTCAAACTTTCATGGCATAAAAAGGCAAGTCTAGGGATTGCTAAAGAAATTGTACAAAAACTTCAATTATCCATCTTTAATGATAGTTCTGGACTGAAAACCTCTGCAACAATTAGAGACAGCTTTGGCAGAGTTAGTATTTGTTAAAAGTGTATAAATGCTCATTTTATTTTAGCATTTTTACACAAGTGAACATTTTCCCCTACAGTTTATAAATGCAATCTATCTTTTTTCCGGCAGCATATTTAGGCAATAAGCGCTGCCAAGCTGGGCAGTTTATCCCACAAGGCTCAAAGGGAAGGGCAAAAGAGAATAAAAATGCTAACCGTGGAGAGATATGGTGAAATTATAAAACACTTTTCCAGAAACAAAATAAATCATTTGTATCTATCATTACTCATCTAGATGTTTAATGCAACAAGTCTTTCAAGAGTTTTGCCTGAGTCAGCTGGCTTTGTTCTAAAACATTTTGGCATTTCATAACAGAAATTTTGCTTGATGTGTTTGGAAAATGGTGGTTGCTTTTGTAAAGTCAGAAAAAAATAGTAAATGTAGGAAGGCAGAATAACTTCAGCAACCAAAAAGAGTCTCCCCTTCACTAGAGAGCATTATTAGCTTTTGTCATCTAGACGAACATATATTAATACAGAGAGTTTTAAACCAAATTATGTTTAATTTCATTTCCCAATATATGTGAAAATGTTCACTGTTGTCATTTATAAAATAAAGTTGAATTTAAATATTTTTCCTATCTGTGCTTTCCTATTTTGGGGTTAAGTTTGTCCCTTGGCATCATCATCTCAAGATTAAAAAAAAAAAAAAAAAAGAATAGAGTAGACGGCTGTGAAGAATAAAGTTTAATTATAATCACTCATTTAATTATTTAATCAATTTGGAGTATAAATCTTTCCAACTAGCCATATTATCAATTAAATAACACTGAAAGTAGACTTTTTAAGAATCCCATAGATAATGTGCTCGTTAACAGTAAAGTACTCCTCTATGTGGAGGCAAAACCGTTCCCCGTGACGTCTACCCCAGCAACGGCAATGTGGTCGTGAACCCCTCGTGCGCACGTGGGAGCACATCTGTGCCCGGTCTCCCCTGTGCCCGCCTGCGAGCATACTCGTGTGCTCAGCGGTGTGGCAGGGGAAGGGCTGCGCCATCCAACTAGCAAAGCTCAATGCGGACAGGGTATTCTTATTACTCTCAGATGCAAGAAAACGAGGATTCCTTTCTCCCATTTATGAACTTCTTTGTGATCTACATCTTTCTTGTAACATAAAAACAGAAAAAAACCTCATGAGATTTACACCCTTTACAGGTTAATATGCTATATAAAAATATTAAGTTTTATTCCCTTTCCTATTTGAAGATATGTATAGGGACAAAGACAAAATTATTAATTTCCAATGTGATTTGATTCTAGACACATTAATGACCTTGATTTTTTGAAGCATAGAATTCTATTTAGGATGTTAGCCTACAATGTATTGTATGCCATATTTACCTTGGTGGCTTGATTTGTTTTTCATTCTAAATTCGATTTCACTTCCTTATTTTTTTTTTTTTTTTTTTTTTCTGAGGGGTAGAGGCATTAGGGTCAAATAGTGGACATCAGACCATTTTTCAAAACAAAAATTTTGAGGAAAAAAATTAAGTGTAATATTTCACTCCATAAAGGGGGTTCATTTAACATGCCCTATTTATGTGATAGCAGGGATCTAATAGGAGACTTTCCTGAACAACCTGAATTAGTTTCAAGTGTGCCATTTTGCATTCAAATGTAGAAAGACACGGAAACCAATCCTTTATTTTCTATTAGAAAACAGCCACTGTCCCCTATCTCTCATTATGGTGCAGACTACAAGACCTAACAACAAAAATCCATATTATTGATCCAGCCAAGTCTCCACAATTATTCTTTAGAAGGAAACGCCGACGATAAATTACATCTGCACTGGCTTTTCATCTGCTGTTCGATATAAGTGATCTCTCAGGGCAGGCTGGGGACCTTAAATCGTCACCGCCCTTGTCAAGGAAGCTAAGGAGGCCTGGCCTTCCCACAAACTGCTTCAGAAGAACTTTTAACCTATAATTTCTAACAATAATATAGGATTCTTGGCAATCAGAAGAACATTTGGGAATGCTGATTAAAATTTATTATTTTTCTTCCTTGAAACAAAATACTTGGAGAAGTGTAAAGAGAAAGAAGACTACAAAAATAACAAACAGCTCATGGCAGCAGAGCCATAGAGAGATAAGGAGAGTACTCAACTGTAAGCTTGTAAGGAGTTTAGGGGCCCACTGTCCTTAGATAATGGAAAACATGCCATAAACAGTGAATATAACAACAGGGTATTGGCGGGCTATATATTTATGGAGGTCCAGACTGAGAGTTCTCAGGACCATGCCTAGCATAGATGTATTCTGAATGCTGGCGTTCACTATCAACTGGTTTAAATTCCATACACTTCTTTAAATGTTGTGATGTAAAACGTATGTGGATTTGTACTTTTCAAATATATAATTATCTAAAAAATTTGTAATAGCTGAATTCAGATTCTTCTCTTTGTATTAATTATCAAAAACTCTTGGATCCGATACTATTCTCCTCTTAAGAGAAATATTAATTTCATTAAAATTTTTTTAAATGGTATATAAAACCAAAACTTGTCAATGAATGTTCAAAAATAGTATGGCACTGAGTTTATATCAGTAACAAATTACAAGACTAGTCCGCTATGAAAACAAACTGTCCCCAAATGATCTCCTATCAAGATTACATCTAAGAAGATCTGTTTAAACACATGCATGTATATGTACACACACACAACATAAACGAGCTTCTAAATATGCGACTTGTTTTGATTCAAACACAAGCACGCACGTGTGTACACACACTTGCATTAAAATGTCACTTTAAAGCCACCCGAGTAGCACTGAAAAACAATGAAAGGAGACCACGGCTTTTAATATTTCATGAGTACCCCTTAAGACAAACTCTTCAACGAGAACCCATTTCTACAGACCACTGGCGAGGTAATTAAGCGCCCACGTTCACCCCGACGTCGGGCTGCGCACCTGTGTGCGTCCGGTAGTGGTCTTTCATGGCGGAGGCCGTGAGGAATGAGTAATGGCACGTGGGCCAGGTACACTTAAATGGCTTTTCTCCCGTGTGGAGCTTCATGTGGTTGTTCAGGGCCCACTTCTCAGTGAAACTCCGGTCACATAAGTGGCATGTAAATTTCCTGCACGAAGGAGAGAGAAAATGATGTGAGTATCACCGCCGCGGTACCACGGCCGGCCCCCGGCAGAAGCGTGTTTCGACCCTGAAGTGTGGCGAGTGCACGGACTCTGTGAGGAGAACCGCAGGCCTGGTCTGTCATGTCTGTATAACCAGCCATTGATTTTTCTGTCCAGGCCTGGCACTTCAGCCATTTATTCTCTGCTTTGCGGTTGGGCCCAACGGGTTTGAAAAATTCTGTTACAGTCCAGTCACCCCTGAGGCAAATGTGAGAATAGATTTCACCTGCACAGGCCTACACCACTTATCCAGGGCACGGGCTGTCAGAGCAAAGGCTAAATGAAAAGCTATCCATACTAAACTACTCAGACAACCCCTGCTCTCTACCAGGCGGAGGCGGCCGGGGCTGCTGGCCTGCAGTCAGCCACGGGGCCGGCCTGCAGACGCCGCTCTGGCCGCGCACCCGGCCGCCCCGCACTGCAGGGCTCCTGGGGACCAACGCCGACGCAGACGCGTTGCCTGAACAAGGTGTCCTTCTGTGTTACCATAAGGATGGATTTAAAAAGTTTCCTCTGGTAAGAATAAAAATAAGATTATAACTATAACTTTCATAAAACAACCTTTGAGAAAAAGAAACCTCAGTTATCTCCTGCATAAAAAAAAAAAAAAAAAAATGAAAATAACAGACCAGTACTCAACTCGAAAATATTAGAGCCCCACAGTTCACAAAGATCTTTTAATACCTTTAATAGTCAAGGCAATATGAACCATAAACAAAAACTTAAATCCTTCTTCTGGTTGAGCTGCTGTCCCTCGTCGCTTGCCTTCATGAAATCATCACTGAAATTTACTTTTTATTTCTAATACAATTTAGTTTAAAGCAATGCCTGTGATGAATAATGTCCAGCTAATTAATTCAGGATAATGAACAGTCAAATAAAAGCAAATTAAAACCCAATATTCAAAATTAAAATATTTTAATAGGTGGATAAGCACTGTGCCACAAAAGAGAGAGACTGTGGCAGCCTGCTTTGAATATCATAAATTGGGCTATACGTCTAGTAAGTCAATGCAATTTAAAAAATAGGATTATAATATGTGCGTTTTAAATTATGATATAAATGAGATGTAAAAAATGTGCGTTCTATCCATAAAGGCTTTAACTATGATTTTTACAAATTTCCTTAACCCCGTAAAGGTAGAAAAAGAAATCCTGAGCTCCAAATAATTAATTTTCTCATTTTGAAGCAAGTACAGATTAACTTAACAAATTAATCATCAGAACTTCACAAATTCTTAGGAAGCGAATTACGAAGTTAGCTTTTATAAAAGTCCTTCTTCATTTGTTATATGTAATTATATTTTTGTAGCAATAGATCTTAAATGCTACAGAAGTAAAAGTTGCTAAATATTTAAGAAATGCCATATAAAATATCTTAAGTGCTTCATTAATATTAAAATTGCCAATTACTACATCTATATAATGTATGTGTAGAAACACTCTATTTACACCCATTAACAGAGACTGACTTTGAAATTACTATATCATCTGATCACTGCTCACTGTACTAGAGAGTGACAAATATAACTAAATACTTCGAAATGCACTGTAAAAAAAAAATATCATGTCCGTATATCTCTTTGACAGGTCTTCATGCATTTAACATTTCAAAACCATGACAGGGATCTTATTTCCAAGATAAATTCCCCTATCTACTTATTTCTTCATGTATTTATTGTGGATCTAACCTTCTCCTACAAGAAATAAATAAGGAGGTTAAGTAGATGCTATCTTTTAACAAATAGTTTCTCTGCACTGTATTACAACTTTATGAATGACAAAATAAATCCCTCATTTTTAAATCTACCATGATGTACATTTAACAAAATTACATCTACAAAACCTCAATATATGTACTCTATTATTCATACATAATAAAAATGTTAAACGAGAGCTCAGTGTCTGTCAGGAAACGACAAAAGCCAGATAACAAAGAACTAACTAAGGCCACCGCCTGACTTTTAGAAAACCTCACGTGCTTTACAATTTGCTTTATGAAAATAAGTTCATGTGCTTGTATTTTAACAAGAACCTGAAATATCAGCAAGAAAAGTATCCTTATCAGACCTACTCTTCAAAGGGGTATTTCCTGGAACTACACAAATTCTGAGTCTCAAATACTGTAAATTATTGGCCTTCACACAAGTCCGTAAGAACGACATCGACCCAAGAGATGCAGCTCTCCTTGGGGCTTATCCCAGGGCCTCTCCAGGACAGAACCTGAGTGAACACATGTTCTGCTCTGCCATGTAGACCCAAGAAGGGAAGGTATCAATGTGTGTTCTAGATGTACTTTAGAAAGACCTGAACTCCCGCCAATACCCAAAACACTGTTTTAAGACAGGGGAGATGAAGGAAGAAGAGTCAGATCTGGCTCTCAAGAAAATCACAGGCTACTAAGGGAGAAAAAAAACATTGACAAAAATAACCTCAATGCCATATTAAAAAAAAAAAAAGATAAAATGCCATCCTAAATTTAAAAGCAGCAGCAAATTAATGGGGCGGGACAGATGAAAGAAGGCTTCCCAGGGGTGGTATTTAATTTAGATGTTAAAAGGTAGGGACAAATGGACATGGAGAGGTGGCAGGGATGACATGGCAAGACAAATGCATAATGAGGGCCCCAGCACTGGAAGCACGACACCCCCTGGGAATCTGATCGCCTGCCACCCCCCTCGGCGGCCACCCAGTTTCCTAGGAAAAGGGTGATGTCCTGTGACCTACATTAGCTTGGATCAAATGTTATTGTTGATGCTCTTCTATCCCCACATGGTGGTCTTCCATGAAAAACTTCTTAATTGGAATTATGATCTATTACAAAGAGTTCTGTTTGGTAAAAACTTGGTAGTCTCCTCTTTTATTGTGAAGACAGTTTTCTAGTAGGTCAATTGAAGGATGCAGAAAGACGACTACGAGACAATCCCATAAAGGTTATATGCTAAAACGGTAAATGAGACAAGCACACAATAGGAAGATGGCGCTTGGTTCACCTTGTATCCTTAAGGCCCATACAAGTGCATGGTACACAGTGGTGCTCGAGAAATAATTCTGGACCGACCGGGTGAAGTACTAAACTAGTGAGTAAGAGTTTTGCTCTTGACTCAATCTTCCCCAGACTCTGAGTGAGCATGTGAGATCGGGGTGTTACAGCCACAGGGGCCACGCTGGCCGCCAGGAGCTCCCTATGCTCATGCCATCCGGTCCTCTTACCTTCCTGCGCATCTCTGCTAATTTTACAAAGTGTGAGTGTTTCAAACATACAGAACGTGACATAATGCATACTGTACGAATTCACATCCATGTTTTCCGTATTTGTTTCAGCAACTTTCTTTGGTATTCTAAAGTTCTTAATTTAATTTTTAAAATCTTAAATGTTTATAAATTAAATTTTTAAAAAATGATATGACAGGTCATAGCAGAAGAATAACAACTGTGCTGTGCAGAAAGCCATCTCTGGGGGGAGAGGAGGGGGCCTCAACACCATTTCCAGGTCTTACATAATCTGGCTACTTTATAATATTTACTAGAAAGTTCAAAATGCCAAATAGTACTCTAAGACCTGTAATGAGAAAGGGCATTTTGTTACCTGCTTTTTCCTCAGGCTTCACTAGATGTTTCTACTGGATATAAAGTGATCTTAAAAGGTTTCGGCCGGGGAGGGGGGAGGGGGAGGGGGAGGGGGGAGAACACAAGCAAAAGAAATCAAAATGATACCAGACTTCTCAAAAACGTGGAATTAGAGGACAATGTAGCAATGATTTGTACATTTTGAGGGAAATGATTTTAAACATAGCATGTTACACGTAACACCTGTCCCAATTCCTACCAAGAGATGTCATTATAAAGTTTCTGGTTTCCAGGGACTGGGATGTCCAACTTTCTAGAATAAAGCCCTTTTTCATGTTGGTAACTATGATATGAACGTCAATTAAGGGTTCATCTTTTAGTGTAAATTTATAAGGCTTCCCAAATTAAATTCTACGCATTTTCCGATATGTTTCCAGCAGGTTTCTGTATTTACAGTTCTATGTGCCGTCTCCTCCTTAGCATCCCTCCCACACCTGGAATGACTCTGGGCCCTTGTTTGGTCTCCCTGTTAAATCTGGTGGGGAACCTGTCTTCCCTGAATCACTCATGACATGATTTGTAATAACACAGCCAAGACTAAATAAAACCCACATCTCTAGACTTAAAATTTTGAAGTGAGTATACTAAATATCCTCATTGTTAGATATATAACAAAACTATAAATTCTCACAGTGGTGTCAGTAGGCATTATGCACAAAGTAAAACTCAAGAACTCAGTAGGGAGCTGAATTACATGACTAATACCATCATCTTAATAGGTGCTTCTGCCGTACGGAAACTCTGTTACATGGTCTGTTTTTGAATACCTAAAGGGCAGACAAGTTATGTCAAAATATATAACTTCTATTTTGAATTGTGTCTTTATCTTTCCATATTACTATAGAAAGTAAACATCCTAACGGGAGAGTCTATACTCACTTTCTTCAAAGTATATTTTTAAATGTTATTTAAAGTATTTTAAACCCTATTAGGTACATTATTGACTCAATTTATTACCCACTTAATAAAAAATCTGTACACATCCCACTTACATAGGAAGACAAGGATATCTTGATACTTTGGTGCTTTACTACTTTGTAATTTTTTAAATACAGCAGGAAGTGTCAGTAGCATATCTTTATGTTCTTTTCTAACCTCTCCAATTCAGGATAATTTAGGATATGGTTGCGTTAGCAACGCTTTCTAAAGCTGCAGCTGTCCCTCCCTCTCCTTCAGAAAGCTCAGTCTAGGTAACCAGGAAGCTCCAGCACAAGCACAGGATGTAAACGCAATTGTCCCCATTAAAACAGGAACAATCTTAACTACCTACCAGCCGGGGAGTAGATAAATAATGGGTTTCATCACAAAATGGGATA